GGACTAAAGTTCTAGTCTATTCCTTGAAGGTCCCCCCTAAACCCCCTGTATCCCCTACAGGTCCCCCCACCTAACCTTTAGTCAGTAGCTCACATGACATAAGCAGGTCCCATGCCATGGATGAGCCCTCTCTGCTGCTTGCCAATGCTAAACCCTAAACCCTAAACGGTAGTTTCCATTTTCTTTTCCATTATCCCAAGATATCCCCAACATAAGGGCTGCTGCTGAGAGCATGTTTTCAGCAGCCTGTAGCAGCCACTGTTTAGGGTTTAGGGTCTAGGGTCTGCATGCACATGTCACATGTCAGAAGCAGCTTTATTTCACCTGTTTTTACCTCTCGGGATCTGAGGGGCCGCAGCTTTCTGACAGCTTTACTTTAACCGCCTTTCTTTTCAGACCACATATTCCCTCAGAATCTAGGCAAAGACCCTTCCAACCCCAAACCCTAGCCCGGGCCTCATTATCGAGCTGCTGCTGGTAGATCGTGGCCAGGGCTCTGATGGCCGCGACCTGCACCTGCTAAAGCTGCGCACAAATGGGTGTTTCCCAAAATTAGGGGTACCATTTTGGGGATCCCTATAGTAAGGCTTATCGTATTTTGGTGTTTGTATTGGGGTCCCCTATTTAAGGAAACTACCAAATTGAGAAAGGAGAAGCACAATCCATGGTTCCCACTGAACAAGGATCAAAATAACAACCAGCAAAATATCCGTAAGTATAAGGCAAGGCATGTATAAAGTAAGACTGCCGATAGCCCTAACGATGCCTACAATGACAAGATGAGGAAACAGACCAGGAGTACTCAGGGCAACCGCTAGGACAATAACCTTCCTTCGTGCGTCATGGAGAAGAGAGTCCAAGGCATGCGCCGAAAAGGATTTCTGATTGACATGCATCTCCGCAACCTCAGCAGCAATTCATTCTTCTCATTTCTACAGAAGCTACACTTCCCATGCAAAAGCACATAAGAGAACCTATTCGTTGCATGATGTGAAGAAAAGGAGCACTCCATAAGCTACTCTAATCCCTATAATCTCCTATATAATCCCAGTTTCCATTTCATTTTCCATTTTCTTTTCCATTTGATTCTCCATTATAGTAGGTACCCCTAATTTTGGGGAACCAAACTTAGCCAAGGCCAGGACAATGGCAGCTACCCCATGGGAGAGGCCAGCGACCCACATGACCACTCCCTCCGAACGGTGCAAAAGGTGCAGGGTTGTAGCCCCCCTTAAGTACACAAAATATGGGGTATATGGGGATCTTAGTATAATATACCCCAAAGCCATATTCTATCGCAGTTTCTCCCAGTCTTAGGAACCAATCCATGAAGAAACAGCGCTTTGCAACCGCCATCATTTTTCAAAGCTCCCTTGCTATACTGGGCCGTTTTTTGCTCACAAGGCCTGGCATGAATTCGGGGTTTCCCAAAAGTGGGGGCACCTTTCTTGGGGGTCCCTATAATAGGGTGTATGGCATTTTGGGGTCTATATTGGGGTCCCCCTGTTTAGAGAAACTACCATTCAGCTTCTTGTGGTGGCATTAAATGGCAATTGATCTTGCAGCAAAAGTGTAGAAATGCTCCGATGCCTGAAGAGCTGTGTTGGACTCGTGCTCCACGCTGACCTGCAGGGCAGTTACCAGGCTTTGCTGGCAACTATGAAACGGCTCAGGCCTTTGAAAGCAAACTTGCTCCAGCACCGGAGCCAGTTGGTCCAGAGAGGCCCTCGCAGATCCTGCAAATGCCATGGCACGAAGCTTTGCAACTTTGTGAAAACACTCTGGCCTCGCCCGTACGACAGACTGGAGCCTTAGGAATCTCTTCACAAAATTTAGGATAAGGAAATACATGCACAACACCGCACTTAAGCTTCTGTCAGCAGGGCCCGTTTGCAGTCGAACATGCAAATCCTTACGCCAATTGACTTGGAGCCAGGCCCATGCAAGGCTTCCAAGAACTCTGCAATGGCCTCATCAGGAGCGTTGCTGTCGGCTCAGTCTCGTCTCATGCAAGTCTGCTGCAGCTTCTGCCATGTCCTGCACATGACGCACTACGAGGTATGCGCCGGCCTCCAGTACAGTTCGCAGGAGTCCACTGTCACCAGCCTGCACAACAGAGTCACAGCTTCGCGAAATGAATCTTTCGTAGGTGGCTGCAAGGCCACAGAACAGCATCTGCCTTTGCTTGCAGAAGCTCGACGAGCACTGAGACGGCAACCAGTGCAGCCTGCAGAAGCTCTCCCATACTCATCTGATGGAGTTAACAACGGGTACTGCCAAGATTTAAAACTTCTCAGAAGAAGAAGAAGGTTCTTTGCAAAGCATGCAAAGCTCAACACTAGGATTTCGTGGAGAGCCCTTAATTTACGACAGCGTCCGTGGGTGCAGCGGGCGAGCTACGTGAACGCTGCACGTTGTAGACTTGGAAGTGTAAAGAAAAAGGGTCCTACTACTACTGTTAGACCGCCCGTCGACATCTTGAGTTTGGACGAAGATCCAGTGATTGCATTGCATGATTGTTTGCTGCGCCGTCTCGCAGCCAAAACATGCATCGTGGGAATTTGTTTCAGCAGACATGTTTGGGCAATTGGGCGTGGCGAGATAATTTCTGATATGGTACCAGCCTCGCGCAGAGGTGCAATGGCCTGCAGCGCAGAGCGTCCACGATGACTACAGCACTGCTAAGGGGCTAGGCTTTTTTAGTCTCAAGATACAAGAGGTTCAGAAAATTTCGGACTCCTTTGCGATCAAAAGCATGTATGATATGTTTGGGGATGCTTTTTGCAGGGATGCCCTCGGATTCAGTGGAAACTGCAGGGAAGAGACTGGAGGTGTTTACCCAGAAGAGGCGGTGGCGTATCCAAGCATTGTAAGGTTGACCGACCCAATTGAGCCCCTATAGAAATCGTAATTGGGGGTCCCTGTAATCCCTATACATGATCCAGTCCCCCGGCTGACCCCCCCCAACTCCATCATGGTATGGTCCCCTCACCCCGAGCCCAATCCTCTCTAAAGTGCGAACAGTCACAAGGATGGTGAGTGTCCAGCTCAGGATCCTCGTAACTGTCCTCGTTTTTGAGGCCTCGGATGCGCCATTCTCGTAACTGTCGTCGTTCTTGATGTCGCAGACCCCAAAAGTACCAACGGTCACACGGATGGTGGGTGTCCTGCTCACGATCCTAATGACTGTCATCGTTTTTGATGTTGCAGATCTGACAATGCCAACGGTCGCAAGGATGGTGAGCGTCCTTGAGACGATCCGCGCAAATGTCATTCTTTTTGTGATTTTGCAGATATCAAAACTACCACACAGTCACACAAATGGCGGGTGTCCTGGTCACGACCCATGCAGCTGTCATTTTTTTGATGTTGCATATCTCAAAGATGCCAAGAGTAACAGGGCTGGTGCTTGTCCCCCACCACACCACAAGGGAAAGAGGAAACCAGCCACACCACAGAAAGGAGCAGGAAAATTCTGATCGACCTGAAATGATACAAGCTGCACACATGTTCTTTCAGTGTCGTTCCACCAAATTTCGCTGCTGCACGGTAACAACAACTGCAACTATGCTGAGAATTGTGGGAGGAGGAAAGCCACCCACACCATAGGAGGAAGGGAAAAGATGCGAATGACTTCAACAACACAAAATGATGACTGTTATTGAAGTAAAGACAACCCCCAACACCACAGGGGGAGGAAGCTGAATGCTTTCAACAAAAAATGCTGACAGCTTTGGGAGAAAGAACACCCACCACACCAGAAGGAGGCAGGGGGAAAGACCTGAGTGAACTCACATGCATGGGACAAAGAAAAACCCACCACACTATGGGGGGGGGCAGGGGGAGGGGGGGCCGGGGGGGGGCACGTCTTGAGGTTTTGTGGTGACAATCAATTGCCGGGATGCTGGCAAATGTGAACCCCTGATTTAGGGAAACGCCCCATATGACTACATCAGCTCCTACCTCTCCCACCCTTGGTGAAGCTGTTTAGGATTTAGGGTTTATTGGTCAGGAACCTCGTGCTGTGCCGCAAAGGCCGCTGTTCGAGCAAGCACGAAGGATGCATCCTTGAGCACCTCTGTATAACAGGGTATATCTTGGGGTTATATAGGGAATAACGGAAAAGAAAATGGAAACTACTATACTGTGGGTTATATCTTGAGGTTATATAGGGGGTTATCTTGGGATAATGGAACATAAAATGGAAATTACTACAATGGGTTATCTAGGGGATTATAAGGTATATATTGGGGTTATATTGGAGTTCTATAGGGATAATGGAAAAAAAAAAGAAAATGGAAGCTACTATAGTGTATTGGGGTTATACAGGGATAATGGAAAGGAAATGGCAACTACTAAAGCACCTCTGGATTGTCCGTGAATGCTCGCATGGCTTGGATGACATTCTGCATCACCTGAATGGCATGCTCCGCCTCAGAATCAATCTCTCCATGGCCCCAGGACAAACCACTGAGGGACCGGAGGGTCTGCATGACAACATCAGGGTTGGAATTAGCCCGGAGTGTTGACAGCAACGAAGCTGAGCCATGTAGTTGCTGCACAGCCCAGAGGCCCCAGTAGAGGACTCGACCATCATTCTGAGACCTCTGTAACACTTTCTCCAAGATGGCACCGACGCGCTGGCTGTGTATTTCACCGCAAGCACCTCCCTTGCAGAGTTGAGCTATCAGGCGAACCCCCTCTTGTTGAAGTTCAAGTCCTTCCCAACTATGATCCAAGGGCGGTGACTCCAGTACTTGCAGCAGCCATTCCCAGCCATTGACCTGGAAAAAGGCCACACGCGCCTCTGGAAGATCACCAGCGAGGTCCCCAAGCAGCTTGATGCCCATGACTTGTAGCTGCATGTCGGTCGGATGCGTCCGGAGCGCATCGATTATCACCCGCGCAAGGGGCACCGCTGAGCGTTCCACCTCATGCCATCGCTTCCGGAGGGTGCTCTGCAGGGTTTGCAGGGCCGCCCGCGTTCCGGGTGCGCTGGGCCGTAAATGCTGTAGGGCTTGCAGGAGCGCTTCTAGCCCATGCAGCTCATCCATTACTTCCAATGCTTCTGTGAGAAGATTCTCGGTGCCGGGATGCTTGGTCATGCTTTGAACCAACACCTGTACAACTCCAGCACGCTGGATGATGTCCTTTGTCGATCCTTTGGAATCAGCTACAACTGCTTTCAGGAAGCTCACGCCAACCTGCTGCACTTGTGGGTCTGCAAGACCTCTCTGCATCTCATCAAGGACGTTAACAACTGCAAGCCCGACTACCTGCTCCAGGGCCTGCCGCAGGCGCAACACTGCGCGATTCGCAACTGGCTCATTAAAGTTCCAGGAGTAAGCTGAGTGCACTCCATGCAACGCACGAAACAAATCCATCACATCATCAGCGGGCGCCGTCATTGCGCACGCATCTACAGGTGAAGCACCTCTTGGCAACAGACTGAACTACAAGTACCAGATCAGCATCCCGCAGCGTGGAAAGTTGACCCCGCACTCGGACAACATAAGTACTACTATATAAACTATTACCATGTACTACAATATACCTATGATATGCTAGAATATGACAGTATACTACAATGTAATGAAATATACTACAAGATTTTACGATATACTACAATATAACGTATCTTATCACGCGCGTCACGATGAAGAAGTGCAGTTTGCCATGCACCAGAGACCCCGTTTCAACATGGCGGGCTTCTTTGCTATGCAAGACTAACTGAAGAATTCACATGAAATTTTGCGGGAGATGTATTATAATCTGGTACACTATGTTATAGTTTACAATAGTATATCATAGCATATTCTACTCTAATCTATCATCGTATAATATATTCTAATATCTTATAGTCTACTATAGCAACGCGCAGGCCTTTGCTGCGCAGCTTTAAGCTTTAAAACAGCTGCAGAATGATGCCTTCTTCCATCTCAAGTGAGCAATCATAATTTGTGGGTATTTCTAAATGAGATTTGTGTGGAGGGTTTAGGGACTCAGGGACAATGATGCTATTACCGTGTATTGCATTCAGTATTGCCCGAAAGCTTCGTGCTCATGCATGGAACTAAGAATGAGCAGACTCTTGCACCTTTTCCGCCAACAGCACGGACCAGCAGGCGTCTGGGAACGCAGGGCCCTACTACTTGTCTGACACCATGTAGAACTAGTATAGGAAAGTCTTTAAAAAGGGGCTACCCCCCAGGACTCAGGGATACACGGGTATGTTAGGATTGTAGCGGCAGTGTTTAAATTATACAGGCCTCATTTTGAGAAGTGCCAATATATAGAAGTACAAGCATAACTGGAATAGATGCTCAACCTTGACAGCGGTATTCAAATTTCGCCATGTTGAAAGATAACTTTGTATGTTGTCCTCGCCTAGTCATGGCGAACATGGGAAGATTGAATTCTGCACATCATCATCTCACACAGAAACTCATCTCCAAATCGGAACATACCTTGCAGCCGCTGTCTGTGACTAGAAGGAAGAAAAAGCTTGGGGATTTTCATCCAGCAGCAGCTTCTTTTGCTGGAGGTGCCTTTTGCCAACTTGAATTACTGAACTTGCTCACCAATGCTACATAACCGCGCGTGAGTATGGAGTGCTTGCTGTGACTCAGCACGTAGCAAGAAGTCTGGCGGAGCATGGTTCTTACCCTGAAGGTTTGTTGCTACCACTTTTACGCTTCTCGAAGTTGTTGCTAGTCGTGCAGTGGGACTCATAAAGTTGCGAGTGAAGATGGCCACAGTAGCATTCCATGACCAAGGAAACCGCACAGGATGTTACGGTGGTGTCACAATGAGGAGCCAGAGACCCCAGCAGCAGTCCTCTCCCATGATCTGTCATTATGTTGGGCTACCACATGTCCTAGAACTTGCTGTTCCTAGCACGTCAAGCAGCTTCCATCGAACCTTGCATTTAAGCTACAGCACAGCTGCCTCTTCCTTACTTGATCTGACCTATTGTATTTATGGAAGGTAAGACGGACAGTGGTTTTATGAAAGGTCTCCCGAATTTGACACCCAAGATATACACCCACCAATACTCCGAAAGAACCCTATATACACTCACGAAATGCCCCTCTACTAGCCCCCAAATACCCACAATAATCACCTATAACCTTGCTTCATGTGCGTATCAACTGCCTAACTTGATTTGGAGATTTCCCAGAATTAGGGGTACCATGTGCGGGGTCCCGATAAAAGGGAGTATAATATATCGGGGTCCATATTGCGGCCTCGCGTATTTATGGGAAGAACCAATCTTGCGCGACGAACTCCCTCAAGACCACTATACGAACCTAATTTTCAGTGCATGTTCCATGTTCTTTTCCATTTGATGCTCCATTCTTGGGGTACTGTCCCGACCCAAAACCCAACTAAACAATGGTTTCCATTGTCTTTTTCATGCCCTGTATATCCCTCTAACTATATGCCCTATAGCTCCCTGTACACACCCCTTTATATCCCTAAACACTAAACCCCAAATCCTAAACCCCAAACCCTACACCCCAAATCCTAAACCCCAAGCCCTAAACCCTAAACCCCAAATCCCAAACCCGAAACCCTACA